CCATTTGTTTTTAATATAGCTTATAACCCTAACAGGAGATAAAAATATATTTAAATTAACTAATACAAAGATACTAAAAGCCATTAAACTACTATAACAACAAATTTCGAACCTTCGAAACAACTCGGGTTTGTTGTCGTTGGAGGAAGCGCTTCCATTTCTTGACGTGCCTTTTCGATAACTCAACCATTGCTTTAAAGAATCTTTTGTTATTTTCCGTGGACATACACCGCTGAGCATTTGAACACGATCTTCTTCGCTAAAAAAAGCATTAGGAGGCGTAGTATTCGGAGGATCAATGCTTTTTGTTACTTGTTCCATGTCATTATTTCCCGCCATTTGTAACCTTTGGCCTCGTTTCGCGCAATTTTATTGGGAAACCGCTGACCATTTGCCTCAACTTAGATTGACCTAAAATATGCCATTTTGTTATAGCCACAAATTATCTTTAACATATTTAACTTTATGATAGACTATAACGAGTGCAAAAATATATTCACCACTAAACTAGTGTAAAATATTAAATTTATTTCACAATTTTTAGCTTGACTTTATTTGGCCAAAGTAGGCCTTGGCTCCCAAACCAACCATCCTCTGTGTTGTAACACAAGCAGACAGCTGTGTTTTTCTAAATTCAAGATGTGACTAAACTTGTATTACATAATATTGTGACTGCTCTTGAAAGATCTAAAAGCTCTAGAATGTTCTGCAAACTTCAAGTCAGGAGGACTTCAGTGTCTCACAGCTATGATTGTATTAGAGCTTAACCATTGACTAAAGGCTTTTGAAAATTTGATAGCATGGCACAAACAAAAAAGATCATGTCAATTATGCCATTTCGACATAAAGTAATGGGAATAAAGTCCAAAATGTGAAAATTCTTGATCCTCTCCATAGCTCTCTCAACATGAATTCTTAATGTGGCGATTCGCCTGGTTTCAAGAAGTTCACTTTCTTCAAATTGGCCCGATACATTCATGAACGGTGGGATATTGACTTTGACTCCTTTCTCAGCTAGTAAATTACTAATGTTGAAACCACGGTCTGCCATAATGACATCATTTCTTTGTAGTTTATCAATGAGTCCTGACTTTTCAGTGAGTTCCTTATCTGAAATGCTGCCACCAAACAGTGTTGAGACAAAGGATATCCCCCCTTTTGGCACAATGCCAACTAAAGCTTTTAGAGTGTTGGCATTTTTATAGGAAGAAAAAGTTAGCTGTTGGGCTTCTGGGTTGTTTGGTTTTTCAATGAAGATTTCTGTAGCATCTATTATCAGAGTTGTGCTTGGATATTTTTTTTTAAAGCATTCCGGCATGTGTAATTGAACAATCTCTCGTGGGGGAAACACATCAAGCTCTCTGAACCTGTAAAAGATAAACTTAATCCAGGTGTTTATAATTGAAGAGACAGTGCTCTGGGCTACACCAAATCTGGCAGCTAAATCCTCTTCCAGCAAACCAACTTTTAAGCGACATAAAACCATAAAAAATTCATTTTCCACAGAAAAGACTCTACTGGGACCAGGTTTATACGTGTAGTTTTTTTGTTCAGTGTTTTTGTTCTTGTAGTCCAGATTAGAAGCAGCATCTCTGCCAAGGAAATCCAGCACCATAGAAAACACTTTATAATTCTCAAAACTAGTGTAGAATTTTAAGAGCTTGTCATTATCTTTTACAGTCTCGATACTAAATTTCCCTCGAATCAGTTGCAATTCAAGTTCTTTCCTTACTTCTTGATCTTCTTCTATCTGTTTTTCTAGTTCTTTTATTTTGTTAGTCATTTCGAGCTTCATTGCTTCGAATTCATTCAGCAGGCGTGTGTACTTTTCTTGCATAGGCAACTCTCTCTCGACATCAACATAAGGTAAATCGCTATTGTTTCCATCAGCTGCGTGTCCAATATCTGATCCTGCCTCACTATTATTTCCAATCTCATCTGTCATGCTTGTGTCACTGTTCGACCTTACTTCCACAGGATTGTTGATCTGCTTGACCGTGTTAGTTTGTTGTGCTCGGTAACATGGTTTCTTTCTCCCAGGCTTTTCCTGGATAAAAGAGAATTTTGAAGGCACAGATCCTTGCTTAAGACGTCTTCTTTGACCGCCAATTGGTTTTATGAAGCATTCTTTACCGAAATGTTCACTGCAGAGATAAGAATTTTTTGTAACTGGAGTATTTTCGCGGCGTATTTTTACGAGCCACTCGGCAAGCAACTTCTTGTCGTTTAACGGCAACAAATGCCATGATAAACCGCTGCATTCAGGTTTAGAACTTCTATTTGAGCACCCATAAGCTATACAGTGCTTCACCATAGCTAAAATTTGCTTTATATTCTAGCTTTAAACAGATTTAAAACAAAAACACACAATGGTCCATAGATTGTTTTGAAAAGAACCGGGAAGCTCGACCCGATAGTCTCGTTTTGATGCTATTTTTCGAAAGATACCGCTGGATGGTCAGAATGTCGTGCTCCACTGCGATAAGAGCTATTCGTTTTCTTCAAAAACCTAACTTGTCTGAACAACGTATCATTACTACCCAGTTTTAAATTTGCTTTTTCGATGTACCTGCTTAACAGAGTGACCGGACAATAGGCATTGTCTAATTTATTGATGTAAACTTAATTACCCTCCCTATAGATATCGTTTTTTTGCCTTCGGCTTCAGTATTCTTAGATGATTCGGCAAGAACTCTAAATGTGAAATTAACATTTGACTTAATTCGTCATAACGCAGGAAGCCTGCAAAACCTAATGCACAAATGCTAGCTATTCTTAGATCCTTTGCTAAGGAATGTCCATGCTTGTCAATTATTCTTTTAACATGTCAGCTATCAGAGGCTTTTTCTTCTTGATTGGGTTTTTGGACCTTTTGGCAGATTCTAGCAATTGATGGCATGCTGAAGAATCAAGTGGATTTACACCATTGTCCGGTAGCAGGGAATGGAGCCATTTCAGAGCTGAGTAACTTAGGACTAATGAACTGTAGGACTGAGAATCCTTTAGGACTTTGGATAGATATGCTAGAAGTAGAGCTGAGCTGAAAAGTGGTACTGCTTCTATGTTGACTGAGTAACACCACTTGAAAAAACTTCTTTATTTATTTTCCGTATCTGGTATGGTTGAAGGGGCTTTCCAATACTATACCATCGTCTAAAAATAGAGCTATCTTAAAACCGTGAATTCTCCAATATCTTTCTGTGGGTTTGAGAACTTTTGTAAATATGTGGTGAGCTGTAGATAGGCCAGATAGTAAAACTGCAAACACAAACTGCCTTATAACTCCGTCTCCGAACTGCCACCTAAAAYCCAGAAAACACTGATAATCAGGGTGGATTTCAATGTGGTGGTAGCCACTCTAAGTCAAAAGATATCATATGTGTCAGTTTCATAAACCGCCATTGCTATTTTTCAATCTTTGTATTTTATTTTCTGCTTTTTCAAGTGTTTGTTTACGTGACGTAAATCGAGAATTAACCTCTTCTTCCCTGCCTAGTCAAAGACAATTTTTCCCTTAGCTTATAATCGTATTTAACTACAATTTTACCCTTATTCCTCTATCCCTTTTCATAGCTATGTCACTAATTACCAAGGGTGGATGGGTGGGCACTTAGTCTAGATACCAAGTTGTAGTGATTGCGAGAGTGAGAGATCGAAGCTTACGAGTTATTGGTTTAAATAGTGTGCATCTTATCCAATCACATTTTGTCCAAGGAATTACTCCAGATTCAATAGATCTCATCTATGTGATTCATTAAATAAACAATCTACATTCTTATATAAACTGTCGTTATAAGAAGTCCCTTTGGGAGATTATCCTGTTAACATACCTATAGAAAATATATAAATGTATAATATGAGATTGATACAATTATGATTATAATCATTGCCAATTCCCTAATGTATATTATATATTAATTATGATCAATCGTTTACGGCAAATGAATTTGACACTGTTGAACGGCGATGTTGAATGGATGTTGAACGCGTTTGCACTACATCCCAACAATGTTCAAACGTGTTGTTCGTGAGGTAATGGAACTCGGGTAGCACAAACATGAACTACATCTCCTACTTCCAGTTTGAGTTGCTTTGTCTTGTGATTAAGATTGTGTCTCTCATCGCAGACTTTTTATGTACTCGTTAGACCATCTGTTCCAAAGGACATCCTTACAACGACGAAGGTATCTCGCCCGTCTTCGAAGATCTGCGTCATCATCATCATCATCATCAGCTTCTAATTCAGGTATAAGGTTTGATTTACCATACATCATCATCATCCTCCACATAGCTAAGTGGACGGTTGTTGATTGACACTTCTATGTCTAGCATGAGCTCTTCTAGTTCATTCCAATTCAGAAATCCTCGTCCAATGGACTTGTAAGGTGCTAACTTCACGATACCCACCAACCTTTCAAATTGTCCACCCCACCATGGGGCTCTACTCAGATTGAATTGCCACACGATTGGTGTGCGAGATAGTCCTGAATGGCTTCGTCCTTCATGATACTTCGTAGCCATTTTTCAGCTCCAACGAAGGTTGCTTCATTATCTGAGTAGATCTTTTCTGGTCTTCCCCTTCTGGCAATGAAATGTTTTAATGCGGTGATGAAACCTTGTGTGGTAAGGTCAGGCATTAACTCGATGTGTACAGCTCTAGATAGACTGCAGGTGAACAACAAAATATATGCTTTACCCTCTTGCTTGTCTGGACGTTTGTATGCGATGG